ATGGGAAAATGTATAGGCTGAGATGGGGAGAACATGGATGGTTTTTTTTTTTTTAAGATAGGAACTCACTTAATATAATATAATAGTATAGATAATATATGGCATGATATATTGTAACGCCCCAACTTCCAGGCCTTTAATAGATCCACTCAGCCTCAAATTTAAAATTCTAACTAATTAATAATCTCAAAAATACAAAATTGTCTCCAAAATAATTACACAAATGTCTCCAAAATATAACTTATACAAATTTCTAAAAACAATATATAGTGATGAGCTCAAAAATCTCTAACTCAATGATCCTTTAAATTCTTCAACTCCAACCGCCACTAAATTTGCTCCAAACCTGAAAATTATATTAATTCGAAAAGTATACAATACAACAGGAATAACAAAGCTCGGACAAAGAATAAATTCACACTGATCCAATAATTACACAAACGATTCAATTCGAGATACCAAGCAATTTACCAAATTGCACAAACAAGTCAACTCGACATATGATAATTTATCTAGAACCAAATACCCGGTCCTACTCAGTACATGACCAGTGACTGGCCTTATCCCCCTCACCCAAGCACAACCGCTTATCCGGGCTATTGGTACAAATCATATTGGCAAAGTCCACTTGGTTCATGTACGGAGCATTTCTACGTCATTTAGTCAGACAAATCAACATTTCTAGCATAGAATAACTACACAGAGTTCATCAAATGACTAGAGTAATCAAGCGAATTAACAACGAATAGTTCCACAGTATTTATCAAATTACCAAAATCACCAAGAGGAGTACAAATTAAAAAGGTGATTAAAATAACACTGTTTGCAAAGAGATTTAAAGGAAGCATATTGTATACCACTCGAATTACCTCAAATCAATCTTCTCCGTTGCCAACACTCCAATCTCAATATTTCTCCATGGATCTCCAAAAATAACTCTAATCTTACTTCGATAAAATCTATAACTCTCATCTGCTATATCACCAAGGTGAAACAGAATTTCCAGATTCAGAACCATTTCAGATTTTTCATGAGCCCAGCCTTCCTATAGTTTGTAGGGAATTTTATCTAGTTTTCATAACATTTTTTGTAAATGGAATAGCTTTTCCATATTTTTAGTTATTTCATAAATACTCCAGCTCTATCCAGATTCGTTAACTATTACGAAAATCAAATTTTTTCAAAAACCGCTCACTCTTTTTCAATGAAACCAATTCTTCTTGAAAGATAAATCCTCAAGGAAGATTTGGACATAAAAGTTAAGTCTAGAAGAGTTTTCTAAATGTTTCTAGAATTTTCTAAAGTTGGCTGTAACATAGTTCTTGAAATAAGAAAGTTAGTGAGAAAAGAGGTCAACTAAGGGAAATTTTCCAATTCTTTTGTGATAAAAACCTGCTAAATAATATGTATTAAACTCAAAAATTTGAGGTGAAGGTGTGCCTTTGGATTTTTTTGAGAGATTGATATGGAAAAAGGTGGTCTTATATCGATTAGGAGAAATACAAGAAGGGTAGAATTAAAGCTCAACTCCTTTCATTTTTAACACAAGAATACCATCAAAACACATCTGAAATGAATGTTTAAAACTTCTAAGAGCATGTATTTGTATGGAATAATAAGAGAGAATTATGTTGTGGCTTACTTGAGGCTTGTTAGAATTGCTGGCAAACTTTTCTTCCTCTCCTATCTTCTACCAAGCTCACCCTCCTCCCTCTCTTTCGCTTAGCCAAATATAGTGTGTGTGTGTGTGTGTATTCTTGTATGTAAATTGCTAAGGGAGGGGTTGCTTTTATAAAAAAAATTGGTGTGATATGTCCAAAATGCCCTTTGGTTAGAATTGAATAGGATGTTTTGGATTTAGTTTGAATCCAATGGAATAGTAGAAGTTTAGAGGCCTTAATTAGTTTCCCAAACATGATCTAGTTATGGTTTTCCTCCTAATCAAACCAACCTAGTTATACATATATATATATATATATATATAAGTTTGTACCAAGTCAAAGATATTTTCCATACACTACAACAAAACTGGGTTTGTACAACTTCACATCAATGACATACAGTAAATGCAAGCCGTGGTTTCTCACTTTTACGACTTGTTTTTTTGCATGTCGTAAATAATTTCTCAATCATGACGTGTTTATTGCGTAGGCCGTGAATGTGAATAACGTAGATTTTTTTACGACTTGCAATGTTAGCCGTAAATAATAAAACTTTCTATGACGTGCATATGACATGCGGTTAATACATCAACTATACACGACACGCGTACACCAACCGTTAAAAATATTGACCATTTCACGATGTACAAAAAGCTAGCCGTTAAAAATTGCACTCTCCACGACGCACAAAAAGTCAGCCGTTTAAAATATTGCACTTTCCAAGACATGCAATTACTATCATGAAAAGTACTACTATAAAAATAAAATAAAATAAAAAGCGCCAAATGAAGATTAATTAGTGCCAAAATAGAAAAATACGAAACTTTCAAACCAAAAATATTAAAATTTAAAATTTTAAAGTAAGAAATTTTCATCTCTTTGTATAGACTATCTCGCTCCATCTTCTTCCCTCATCACCACCGACCTTCTTTACTTTCCTACGCTAAACCTTTCTCTCACTTACACTCACCGATTGACGTTTCTCTCCCTCTTCTCCAACCCTCTTCACTGACCTCATAGCTAGCGCACACCCCCAACAATTATGGTTTCTCTAATGGCCGCTTCGGTTGCCCCTGGTGAGTGAAAAAGAAGGAAGCGATGATGTAATGAAACAAAAGGATGAGAGAGAGTGAAGATTGGAAGGCGGTGTGTTTAGGGTTACAAAGGAGGCCATGGTAGAAGAAGAATGATGATGGAAGTGGAGGAGAGACTCTTCCCTTGTTTTCACAAACAATCAACTCTCTCTCTCTCTCTCTCTCTCTCTCTCCATCCTTCCCTAGGTATTTATTCCCGCCAATTTTCTTCATATTATTTGCTTTAGATTGCTTGAGATTTGTTAAAATCGCCTAATTTTTTTATAAAAAAAAAAAAAAAAAAATGCTTGATTGCTTCTGTTTAATGCTTCATATTTGTTGATTTATAGCATAATTTATGTTGAAATTTCTATTCAAAATTGGTGAAACAATTTCTGTTTAAAAAAAAAATTGTTTAAAACAATCTGTTTCTGTAAACAAATTTCTTTTGTATCCTTTTGTTTTTTGTTTTTTTAATGGATTTAAAACTAATATGGGTGAGAGTATTTTGGTATTTTTGATGGTTTAGTATTAATTTTGATAGGTTTATGATTAATTTTGTTTGGTTTAATTCACATAAGTCTTTTTGAACTCTTGGTTTTTTTTTAGTGGGTTTATGATTTTTTTTTTTTTGCTAGTTTTGAATGCTGAGTTCAATCTTTTATATTGGTCATTTTGGTATTCTGTTTTCTAGATGCCAACTCTTTACGATCTAAGATATTCAGGAGCAAACAATGAAATATTAGCAGGACTTTTGAGAGCTTTAAGTGGGTCACGATCCCTTTTCCACCCCCGGTTCTACCTTTGTACATGTTATTGCTGGAAAAGGAGAGTTTGAGAGACAGAAAGGCCTCCATATATGTCAAAATTAGTGAAAGATAAGATGTGTTTGCTTTAGGGCATCAGTAGAGGGGCTATTTATAGATATTTTCACTTTTGGCTTTAGCTGATGAAATGGTGACACCTGTTTTATGTTTATTAAAGTGCTGTAATCTTTTTCCCATCTAGCATCCCCCTGGTGCCCTCCAGCCACTAGCATTACTCTCTTATTCCCCATAGATGATTAGCTCCTTGAAGCCCCTAGATCAATCCCACAGCATAACATGGAAATTGGCTGCCCAGTGCTTGCACCTACCTCTTTGATGGGCCATACTAATAAAATTTTCAATTTGTCTAAGGTTCCATTTCATCTTTTGGACAAATTTGCATCACTGGTCTAGGTGAGCATCTGTTGGCTGTACTAGAACCTGCTATAAGTAGTTGCCTTGTTAGGGTAATGTCTGTGAAGTCTCAGTATTAAATTATTTCTTAAATGAATGCACTTTGTTTTGATCATATTAGATGATATGATACTTGGTTATTAGCAACCATTTATTTTCGAATTGTGGTGCTATAATAAACTTTAGTTTAATGTTTGTGTGTTTGGGCATCCCTGCTGGATCTTCTACATGTTCAAATGCAAAAGATTTTGAAGGGCCCTCTTTTGAATTGTCTAGGCATGGTGCACTACCTCTTAGTGCAGTTTGGATCTTTGGATCCCTTTTGGTGTATATTTTCTTTGGATGGGTGCTATATTTGTGTTTTGTAGTTATTGCACCTTCTCTGGTCTTAGTCTCAAAATTGGCAAAAAAATTCAGGGTTCTGCTAGAAGTCATCTATAGCTTACACAACAAACATGGATAAATATAGTCATTTGGCAATTCAGATACATATCACACAGAGAAAATTATGTTTGCTGTGTCATATACACTCATCTAAATTTTAAAGTAATTATTTTTTAAAATTTTAAAAGAATTAAGTAATTATTTTTAAAATTTTTAAAAGAATTACAATTGAGACAAAGCCCGTTATGACTTCTAATTTTAACATTTTTTCTTATTAGACAGATAAAGACATTATCAACCATGTCAACTCCACCAGCCTTGGTTGCCCATAATAACAATTGATTTTTGTTCGGAAGTATATACATGAAGACTTAGTTTTTGTTCAAAAATTGATAGAAATTGATATCCGAATGAAAAGCACCAAAATTTATAGAAACCATTGAATTCTCAATTTCTTTTCTTTTTGAAATTGCGAAAGAATCTTCTATATTCATTCTCAGTAGCCCGACACCCTTAGGTATGACTCTTTTCTTCAATAGACGACTACATGGATTTGTAATTAGAAAAAAAAAAAAAAAAAAAAAAAA